CGTGTGTGGTAGCGAATCAGTAGGCGACAACCAATGCTACGAACGCTTAGAATTCAAATACAAGATCCATTTTTGGTCGCCGGTTAATAACCGATTTAGAAATGGTTCATTAGCGTTGCGTGAAATGTTTGCTGAACAAATGGTAAGACGACTTAATTTGTTATCATTTGTCAGTCCATGTGGGACCCATTAGCTTAACTTACACGTCTTTCCTAGCTGATGAAGATGCAAACGAATAGTTTCAGGATTCACTCTGAACATTTCTGCAAGTTCTTGGCACGTTGTCCTGGAATTTGCGTCCACAACCTGTCGAAGATCCTCGTTGTTCATGATTTTTGGTCTCCCTGAGCGCGGTTCATCGCTCAAACTGAGATCTCCCGAAGAACATTTTTTGAACCACTTCTGTGCTGTTCGATCACTAACGGCATCATCTCCGTATGCGGTACATATTTTTCGCGCCGCCGCTGCAACTTTTGTACCAAGTTTGTACTCATACAGTAAAGAACTTCGAATTACTGTTTTATTCGTCGCTATTTTCTATTATTAAAACTAGGTATGTAACCATTTTCAGCAACTTTTTATGTGTGTGAGAAAAGAAGGATTCATACTAAAGTTACAACAGGTAACAAACAATTGCTATCGATCAACAACCGCACGAACCTATTTGGTTACCTGATACAATACCTCCTCCGCCGATTGCCGTGAGAAGAACTAATATCAAATATATAAAATGTTAATTTACTATTGTATATAATATAGAAGTCTAGCCTATGGTCTAGCCGAAAACCTCCAAGACCCCATAACTGCCATCATTCACGAAAGGGAAGCAAAAATCAATGAAGGGATATACATCCGCGGATATCCCTCGTTTACAAATTCTTTTATATATCGCCCCAATGGATTTCCATGAGAAACCGATATGTTTCTTTTAACACCACTAATAAAAGTGTGCGCCGGCTGATTCATATTAATAGAACGTCACCCCCATTTCCAATTCCGTTGTACAGAGTGGCACTGCCTAGTTCGAATCAGGAACCCTTGGCTGATTCAGAAAGTTCGTTCACCCAGCTAATATTAGATAAAATCCAGGATTTATGATATTTGATCTAACCTATAATATAGCCCCACAGAACAAATATAGCATGTGGTAAGTTGACGTAGTTGCTCGGCGGTTTAGATTTAAGGATCTAGATCTGATTTTTGAGGTATAAAGCTTTTAGTTGAATATGTCACCATCAGTAGTTACTGTGTTCCGTCAGTATTCCCAATGGAATGCGATACTGACTGAACATGTAAATGATCGGTAAATACCAGTGATAATGACCAGAGTAAATGCTGTTTGTGTGATGACTATTCGCTTTAGAGCTAAACTTGAATATTGGACAAGTCTCATACATTCTTGATGTTGATAATACCCCAAATATTACAACTTTCTCCAATGATAAAAACATCTGGAAAACACTGAGTGTTCCTTAATAAAAAATGCCAATATTCCAGAGAATGACTTTTTAGGGCACTTGAAACAGTTGAGATACCTCCCAGAGAGCTACGATTAAAATTAAATGCCGCCATTTTGAAACCAATATGGCGGGTGTTACAAAATCATCATCATTTCCATAGTAACCCCTATGATATGGGTATCAGAGAAAAGGGCTTTATTAGAGAAACACAACAAGCAAATTTACGTCATTCTAAATCCAATATGGGAGCCACCACAAAATAGCGACTTTGGGTATCAAATTAAAGAGCTTCTTGAGAGCAACAAGACGTGCTTCTAAGTCCAATATGCCACCACTCAAGGGCGGTTTATAATTTCTATGGTCACCGCTATGATATGGGAATCAAATGAAAGGGCTTAATGAGAGACACACAATGCGCAGCTAACGTCTAAACTCCATATGACGATAGCCGCAAAATATCGAGTTATCATTTTATTTATGATTAGAGGGCCGTTTGATAAGTCAGTGACTTTTTGAATTTCCCGCTCAGTAACTTTGAATGCAACACTGCTGCCGTCAACTACCATCTTTTATATGACAACTGTCAAAATTTGAACAAGCTATGTCATTTCATTTGAGTTTGACAGCCGTTGAAAGTACAGTCTCATAAATTCTAACAAAAATGGAGAAAAGTGAATTTCGTGATCTAATTAAACATTATTTTTTGCGTAAAAAACACCACTGCAACCAAGGAAAGGCTTGACAAATACTATGGGGACTCTGCACCATCCATTTCAATGGTGAAGCAGTGGTTTACTGAGTTCCGTTGGGTCGCACAAGTGATGCCGAACGTTCAGGTCGCCCAAAAGAGGTCATCACACCAGAAATCGTGGATAACATGAATGGGACGATATTGGAAGATCGGAGAATAAAAATACGTGAAGTAGCTGAAGGCTGTAGGCATGTCTACTGAGCGGGTACATCACATTTTACATGAATACTTGGACATGAAAAAACTATCCGCGAGATGGGTGTCGCGATTGCTCACAGTCGACCATAAGCGCCGTTTTGTAACTGTAGACGAAACATGGATTCATCACAATACACCAGAAACCAAAGAACAATCAAGACAGAGGGTTTCACATGGTGAGCGTGCTCCAAAGAAGGCCAAGCTGGGTCTGTCAGCCAGCAAGGTTATGGCCACAGTTTTCTGGGACGCATGCGGTATCATTTACATTGATTACCTTGAGAAGGACAGAACGATTACGGGAGAGTACTATTCAGAGCTGTTAGCCAGATTCAACGTTGCTTTGAAGCAAAAAACGACAGCAACTGGCGAAAAAAAAATTGCTGTTCCATCAAGACAACGCACGGGTACACACATGTGTAGTCTCGATGGCGAAAATTCATGAACTGGGCTACGAACTGCTGCCCCATCCCCATGCTCATTCTCCAGATTTAGCCCCCAGCGACTACTTCCTATTTCCAAACCTGAAAAAATGGCTGGGTGGTAAGAAATTTGGGTTGAAAGAAGAGGTCATCATTGAAACAAACGCATATCTTGGGAGCCTTAATAAAAACTACTATTCGGAAGGAATTAAGAAATTGGAAAAACGCTAGACTAAATGTATCGAGCTAAAAGGAGATTATGTTGAGAAATAATTTGCTTATTTGCCGAAAAACATTCTTTTTACTTAAAAAGTCACTGACTTAACAAACAACCCTCGCTATATAAATTTTATAATACAAATAAAGCAAGAAGTCTTAATAATTAAATATATAGAAATTTTTAAACTAGTTATTTAACATGATAAAAAAATGTAAAAAATTAGTATAATAAACTGAAACTGTTAACAAAATGAGCTAAAAATTTAAAAATATTTTTTCCGATTGAAAATATTCAAACGATAAAGAAGCGTCTTCATTCGAAGTTTTCGAATAAAAGTGTGTTACGTTTTGACAGCAGGATGTCAAAAAAGTAGTAGTGTAACACGCTTTTATTTGAAAACTTGAAATGAAGAACCTTCATTATAGTTTGAATATTTCCAATCGAAAAAAAAAACTACAAAATGTTTAGTTCATTTTATTAACAGCTAAATAAAGGTTCGTGCAGCAAACAAAGTCGCGCATTTCTTAAACAAACGGAGTTTTGTTTCAAGGTTTTTCATGTTAAATATATACAGTTTTGTATTTTTTAGTTAAAATTGTGTATTCGAGCTTACCGCATTTGTCAAACATTGCTTCAAGTCGTAAGTTATTAACATTATATAGGTAATATTTGCTGTAAATGTACTATCTTTATGAACTCTTTGGATTAGTAAATCATAACCTCAATTGGGTTTGTTATTATGTAAGGAGCAATATCGAATAACCGATAACCGATCTTGCCCCAATGACATTACCGAACTAGTTTTTGTTACAATTTGAAGATGGTCCGAAAGTATGTAGGAAAACCTCATAGAGGCAGCAAGTACACCAAGGAAGATCTTGCGAGTGCCATTAGTGGATTGGAAAGAGGATTTATAACCCTTCACGGCGCAGCAAAATAATATAATATTCTAAAATCGACATTGCATGACCATGCTAAAGGAACCCATGGGTCAAAAAGTCAGACCTTTGGAAGGAACTTGGCAATTTCTTTGCAACAAGAAGATATTTTGTCAAATGGTATTAAAACTCTTGGGAAATGGGGATTTGGTCTCTCCAGAAAGGAGAACATCCTGAAACGAGTACGAGGAAGATCGCTAGACACTTAAATATTTGCCATCAAATTTTTTGGACAATTTTAGTGGATTTTTTGTTATATCCTTACCATATTTTAAGAGTACAGGTATTACTTCCCATTGATTTTCCAAGTCGTGTGACCTTTTGTCAGTGGTATCTTCAAAAAATTACACAAAATCCGCAATTTGAATCAATGATTCTGTTCACGGACGAAGCTAATTTTTCTCGAAATGCCATTAAGAATTTCCACAATAATCATTTGTAGGCAGAAGAAAATCCGTATGCCGTAACCGAAACCCAGTTCCACCACCAATTTTCGGTTAACGTAGGGGCAGGAATTATTGGCAACCACTTTATTGGCCCATTCTCCTTGCCGGAACGACTTACCTCAATTTTTTTTTGATGATGTTCCGTTAGTAATAAGAAACAATGTAGCGGTTGGTGATTATTTACAATAAAAAACTGTTTAGCCAAATCGTCGGATTGGTAGCGGTGGGCCCCAAGAATGTCCACCAAGGTCCCCAGACCTCAACAGTTTAGATTTCTTTTTGTGGGGCTATCTTAAGACACTAGTGTACACAAGTCCTGTAATGTCTTAGTTGGTATCAATAATACCCGGAAGTATACTAATGGTTTATTATATATCACCGATAACTGTTACAAATACGGAACCCCGACATACTGTGTGTTAAACGTATCCCGGTGAGAGTACTCATCGTACATGCGCAATTTTCGGGGAACCAGGGGCGTACTTAATATACTACATTCATCTCCCCCGAAAATTGTTAACAGTGATCAGATGGGTAACAATAAAAAAAAGAAACAATTAATGAATGGTTAGTATTGGAGCCTATCCGGTACCTTACGGATACGTATGGGTCGTGTAAGTTCAGCCTGTTCACCAATGGAGCTAGAATCCGAGTCACTGACATCCACGCGTTCACTATCCGCGATTCCGGCATCCACAAACACATCATCAACCGAACTACCGGCAGAAGTATTGCTGGCGCCATCACTATTGGAAAAAACGTTTACAGTGTGCGGTAGCTCCACGCAGGGTGGGTAGACCAACGAATAATCATCATTTAGTTCTCTGATCTGATTAGTATGTCTTTTCCAAAGGAAATTTGAATCTAGTGGTCGAACAACGTAAACGTTTTTCCCTAAAATTTTAACAACTTGTCCTTTACACCAAGTTACTTGTTTATCGCGATAATCTTTAACCAACACAATTTGGTCAATATTAAAACATACTTTCCTATTTCCTCTGAAGTATTTTGCGTTTCTTCGTTGAGAACGTTGTATGTTTTGGTAAACATTTTCAAGTTCAACTTTTTCATTGTCTTGGACTGAGCTTGGTCTAAGCATGTCAAATCGAGTTCTCAACGAACGACCTAAAAATACTTTAGCAGGAGAATAACCAGTAGAACAGTGAACAGTATTCCTATATGTCATAAGGAATTGAGCTAATAGTAAATTACAGTTCTTTTGATCACTAACCTTTTTCAAAAAATTTTTAACAGTTTTTACGCTATTCTCAGCTGCACCATTACAATGAGGTTCATAAGGCGGAATAGTTATTAGTTTAATACCATTAACATTTGCAAATTGTTTAAATTCTTCTGACACTAACTGGGGACCATTATCACTTGCAATAGTCTTAGGCAATCCAAATCTAGAAAAAAGTTCTCGCAGCTTTGTAATAGTCATGTTAGTGGTAACAGATGCCATCGGAAATACTTCAAGCCATTTGGATAAGGCATCAACGACAATCAAAAAGAAATTGTTTTTCTTCGGTTCAAAAAAATCTATATGTATCCGCGACCAAATGCCCTCGGGTATTTGCCAACATTGTAACGGTGCCTTGGCCGGCGATGATTGCAAGCGTTGACATATGTTGCACTGCTTACTAACACTTTCAATATCATCATTCAAGGACGGTCACCAAAAGTAAGATCTCGCAAGATACTTCATTTTAACAATTCCCAAATGGGTAGCATGCAACTCCTTCAATATCACCTCTCGTAACTGAAATGGTATGATAACTCGATGTCCCCAAAGCAGGACATCGTCTTCAACATTGATTTCATTTTTCCTACTGAAATAAGGTTTCAATTCATTACTTTTATGACTTGCAGGCCACCCCTTTTTAACAAAATTGAGTACCTCAGAAAGTACTGAATCTGAGGATGTAAGTTCTCTGACCTTGTTAACATCGACTGGTATACTAGAATCGGAATTAGTGAGATAATTTAAATGAATGGGGAAGTCGATCAGTTGCACAGACATGTCATCTTCAATCGGCATTCTGCTTAAGAAGTCAGCTACATTTTGAATGGATGACACATGCTTGATATCAAAATTGAATCCACTCAGAAAATGTGCATATCTCTGCAGTCTATTTGCTGCCATCACTGGAACACCCGTTTTAGGTCCAAAAATTGACATGAGTGCCTTATTATCTGTGACCAAGGTAAATTTTCTACCCCACAAATATTGGTAAAATCGTTTAATACTCCAAACAATCGCGGTAGCTTCTTTATCCAAAATAGAGTATGCCAATTCGTTTTTCGAGAGAGTTCTTGACGCATAACAAATTGGCTTTTCGACATCATTTTCAAAAACATGAGATAAAATTGCTCCCACTCCATAGTCCGAGCTATCAATAGTCAAAGTAACTGGTAGGTCAGGATTATAATGCACCAACACATCGTCAGAACATAATGCACGTTTAATATACTCAAATGAATCCTGACATGTTTTATCCCATGACCAACTTACATCTTTTTTCAAAAGATTATATAAAGGGTGAAGTATATCTGGGAGATTTCTGATGAAACGATTATAATAAGTGATACTGCCTAAAAAAGACTTAAGTTGAGTGACATTTTCTGGTGGAGAAATGTCGCGTATTGCCTTAACTCTTTCTAAACTTTTATGTAGGCCTGTCTCGTCTATAACAAACCCTAAATATGAAATGGAATCAGCCAAAAACACACACTTTTCTTTTCTAACAGTGAGACCACATTCGGAAAGACAAAGTAAAACCCTTTTCAAATTTCTAATATGATCTTCTTTATCGATACCTGTAACTAAAATATCATCAAGAAAAACACATACACGGGGCATTTTATTGAACAGCTGCTCCATAATTCTTTGAAATTGTGCTGGAGCGCAGTTTATTCCAAACGGCAATCTATTGAATTCGAATAAACCTTTGTGAGTCGAAATAGTCGTAAATTTTTTTGAAGAGTCCTCGAGCTCTATTTGATTGTAAGCCGATGAGAGATCAATTTTGGAAAATTGCTTTCCATTTTTCAGTTTTGTGAATAAGTCGTCAATTCTAGGCAAGGGAAATTTGTCCACTAGAATAGCTGAATTAATAGTTACCTTATAATCACAACAAATTCTTATTCCTCCATCTTCCTTCAAAATTGGTACTATTGGGGTACCCCATTCTGAAAACTCCACTGGAGATATTATACCATTAGAGACTAATTTATCTAATTCCTCCTCCACTTTACCTTTAATTGCAAATGGTAACGGTCTAGGTTTATGGAAAATGGGACATGCATCAAGTTTAATATTTATGGAGATCTTACACTTGTTGAACCTTCCCAAATTGGTTGCAAAAACGCCATGAAACTCATTACATAGAGCATCAACAGCATCGTTGTTCAAATAATGAATTTCTCTAAATCCCATATTATAATTCCTAATAAAATCTCGACCTAGGAGCAATGGATTGTTACCATCAACAACAAAAAAGCGTAGGATGCTATCTTTGAAATTAAATTTAACATTTAAGTTGATTGTGCCATGTGGGATGATCTTATTGCCAGAAAAATTAATCAAGGAAACATTTGTTTTTTTCATGACGTGAGCACCAAAATATGTTTTGTAAACATGAAGTGGCAAAACACTAACAGCTGATCCACTGTCAAGTTCAAATTTCAACATGACATTCTCAACTAAAATATCGATATATAGTGGCACATCATTGTTGCTTCCTAAGCTAGAAATACTTAGAACGGGGGATGAAAAAACGTCTGTATAATCCTCAGCAATATCATTATTAGGAAAAACATAATTAACGTGCTTAGGTGAGGATTGTTTTTTCTTTTTACACACCACACTGAGATGACCCCTACCGTGACAAGAGTTACAAATATATTCCTTATAGGGGCATACATTACTGTTGTGTTTCCTCCCGCAGCGGAAACAGCCCGGAGAGCGACCAGACGATGTGAACGGCTGTAGCTGCGGCAGCGCCATGTTTGAGCTGTTGCCCCCACTCCTGCGCGTGCCTCCTTGGCTCCGCTGCGCTGCAGGTACTGCTGTCCCTCTATGATACCGTTGAGGATCTTGATGTTGATCGCCAGTGGCACCAACATTTGAATTATTTTGTGTAATTCGAAAAACATCGGATTCTAAGACCTCGCTTTTAACTTCACCAACTGGGTCTCTTATTACTAGCGTTGCTTCGATAATTTTGGCCTTTTCAACAGCGTTATTTAAGGTGGTGTTCTCGTTTAGGCTGAATAATTCAGTTCTCACCTTCCCAGGATTGAACTGCGTAACAAAAATGTCCGTTAGCTTGGACTCAAGCTGCTGACCAAAATTGCAATAGCGAGCTAAACCTTTAAGTCGTACACTCCATTCTAGTGCCGTCTCATTTCCTGATTTGGATGCACTATAAAACTTCTGCCTTTCGACCCATACAACAGCAGTTTTACCATAGTAGTTAGACAATAACTGAACTATGTCTTGGTATGGGGTTTCTTCCGGCTTTTGCGGCATACATAAATTTTCTAATAAAATATACGCCTCCTCAGACAAACTATACAGCAAATGAGCTCTCTTGTCAGCTTCTTCAGTGACCCCGTGTACTATAAAATACTGCTCTAACCTTTTGAAGAAAACTTCCCACTCGTTCTCCTTGGGATTGAATGTGAGCACGGGACCCGCTGCTGCAACTGCCATCTTTCTTGTGCACAGATTGGTTCACCAACAACTGGAGGTTTCAACACAAACGGGGAGTTTACACACACTTAACCTTACCCGGCGAGTTCTTTAATAACCCTCGTCGCCATGTAATGTCTTAGTTGGTATCAATAATACCCGGAAGTATACTAATGGTTTATTATATATCACCGATAACTGTTACAAATACGGAACCCCGACATACTGTGTGTTAAACGTATCCCGGTGAGAGTACTCATCGTACATGCGCAATTTTCGGGGAACCAGGGGCGTACTTAATATACTACAAGTCCCATTACCACTGTAGAGGAATTAAGAGAAAGAATAGTTGCAGCTTGTGATAGAATAAAGATCACTCCAGGGATATTTCAACGAGTGCGCAATTCCATGAGAAGGAGGGCGGAAGCATGCATATAGTACTAAGTGAAGTGCGCCATTTTCAACAATTTTTGTAATCATTTCGTTGGTTTTAATGTAATGTTTATGTTGTCAGTTGTTGCTGTTCATTACCCCTGTGTTTAATTTTTCCAATTAAATTAATAATAATTTTGCAAGTTAGACAATAGAACGGTTTTTATCTTTTTACCCAAAAATGGTGCATCGAAGGAAAATAATTCAAGAGAGAGATCATTTGTTTTAAATTGAACGGGGAATTCAAAAATGGTTTTTATTTGGCAAAGTACCATTTTTTTTTAAAATTCAATATCTGTTCGCACGCCACTGTTAAAGCTAAAAATTATTTTTGCATTGAAAAATATGCGACTTTATTAACTTTCAGTGAAATATCTGAAGCGGTTCTGAAAATATTAATTTGCATTTTTTGCCTAAAACTTCAACGCCCCGAGTTTTTATTAGGAAACATTTTTGGACCATAGTTTATAAAGCAAACTAACATAGATTTTTCATCTAGATTCACACCTTTAAATATTCGCATATCATTAAGGAACACTCTGCATATTGAAGTTAAACCCTGTACATTATGACAAATTTTTAAAATCATTTTATTATAGTACGGTCATGTAAATTTTAACTAGCCTAAATCTTGTGAGATATTACCCCAACTTACCTTACTAAAAATCGAAATGCTTAGTTAACATCATTCGTGTTTATTCAAACAGTCCAGTTCCATCAATTTAGTGATCCAGAACTTGGAATTGCCAGCTTACTAACAAGATTTGATCAAAAATTAGCAAAATACTCGTTTAGAATGGAAGTTGAATTGAGTTGGTAACTGTAAGATCGAGGTCTGGACTTTTTACATTTCCATAATTTTTAAATTGTTAAAAACCTACCTATCATTCCACTATGTCAATTTCTTCATGAAGCATCCTGTATTCATGGATATACGAAATACTGTATGACAAAATTGGATTTGGATGCGCCCT